TCATCCCAGCACTTGGGAGGCTGAGGCAGGAGGATCCCTGTGAGCTTAAGGCCAGCCTGGGCTACATGGAGAGACCCTGTCTCAAAAAAACCCCCAAATACAGTAAATAAATCAGAGGACCCTGTTCTGGTGATGAAACTGTCCCTGTTGGCTACCTGCTTACATCCATCCTTTTCCCCAGCCCTGCCCATGACTGCCCCGTACCTGGAGGCCCCCAGGTCCTTGGAGGTGGGCACGTGGAGGCCGGTGCATTGTGTTCTAGATGGGGTCTTCCCGGCCTCCGAGGCCCAGGTGCACCTGGCACTGGGGAACCAGACGCTGAATCCTACAGTCACGAGGGACGGTGACACACTCAAGGCCACCGCCATAGTGCACGTGGACCAAGAGGGGACCCAGAAGATTGCGTGCAACGTGACTTTGGCGGGAGTGAGTCGCTATGCACAGAACTTGACCACGGTCTTCAGTAAGAGGAGGCGGCCGAAAGGCGTGGTCTCAGCGGGCCAGGGGCGTGGGCAGGTGGGGCACATCATAAATAGCAGGAAAGGCGGGGCCTGAGCTGCCCAAGGGGGCATTGCAGTGTGGGCGGGGCCTGGGTAACCTGAAAAGTATTTCTGAGCACTCCAAGTTGGGTAGGAAGCGCCAAGAAAGCAGGGTCTGGATACCCAGGAAGAAAGGGCTGGGAGGTGGGGGCGGCTTGACCCAGAGGACGGTCATGGTCACTAAGTCCCTGGGCAATGCTCTGCCAAAACTTTAGGTTTCCCAGGGCCCATTCTGAGCCTAAGCAGGACCAACATCCCCAAGGGGTCCACAGTGAATGTGACCTGCAAGGCCGGACCCCGAGCCCAGGTCATACTGGATGGGGTTCTGGCCCCATCTCCGGGAGAGCCCGCCCAGCTTCAGCTGATTGCCACTGACAGCGACAACGGACGCCACTTCATCTGCAATGCCACCCTCGTGGTCGCCGGAGAGCTCATATGTAGGAGCACGGCTGCCCAGCTGCGTGTCCTAGGTGAGCTGGTCACTCAGGCCTTTAAAACCTTCACTGCCTTGCCTTGACTTTTCCCAGCGTCTCGGGAGTTTGGGGTGTCTGGTCACCTGGTGGTTACACAGAGGGTCCCAGCCCTGTGTGGTGGCACACACGTGTCAGCCTGTCATCCCAGCACTTGGGAGGCTGA